AGGGGGATGAGGGGGAAATTTGAAGAAAATGAAATAAGTCTATGGGAAGAGGACTTTTCAGCTTCGGTCTAAACTTTGTCTCAAGATTTGATTTGGGCGCTAATAACTGCCTGCACAGTAGCATAAGGGAATAGAAGCCCCTCACTGGTGGTAATACAGGTGACCTTGCTCTGTTTTCCAGGAGAATCAGTGTTAGGGTGTAGTGGCCCTACTTCGAGCGTCTGTCGCTACGCTGGGCCTCTTGCAAGTGTCTGCATTTGCGCACTAGGGCTGTCTGGCGTTCGCTCACTCGGGTTTCCGGTTAGATGTGGTTATGTAACTGCACCTGAGGAAAACAAATCCCAGCCAACTGTAATACGGGACCGGCGGTAATAGGGGTTTTTACAGGTGGGGCCGGGGGCTGCACAGACGACGAGGTCAAGTAATTCTGTGCAAAATAAAAGCTATTGGGAGTGCACGGTTGTACTTTGAGTGGTTGAGAAGTAGTTGTCCGAACCTCTAACCCTGACCCTTGACCTTAACACCTAACCATAACCCCTAACCCTAAGCCCTAACACTAATCCTAACCCCATCCCTAACCCCCTAACCCTTAACCGCAACCCTAAACCCCAACGCTGAAACATCCAACGCGAAAGTTAGAAGGAGACGACAGGTAGAAAGTAAAGAAGGACCACCGGCATTGGGCCAAAAAAGGTAGACACGGCAACAAAGAAACAAGGCTGCCAACAGAACACATACCGCAACGCTCAGTAACACCATGCCAACGTAACCAGACCAATTCCAAATAATTAAGTAGGTCAACAGTATTGTGTCCATCAGGTGCGACTGCATAACCACATCTTACCACTGGCCAATCAGATTCAAGGCTGAGTCAGACGTGCCCTGGCTTAAGACGCTTTGACGCATTCTCTGACACACACACTTGGGACGCCACCCTCCCCGATCCGGGGCCACTTTCCTCTGGCTGCCAGCTCCTTCCAGTCCCTCCTGCAGTTTTTCTGTACAGAATATAAATCCTCCCAACTGACGTCCATCTCCTCTTTCCTTTCGGGACCGGGCCTGGAGGCCGTGGTAGCTATGGTCTCGATCTCAGCCTAGGCTTCTGAAATAAGGATTAACGTTTTGGTTGGGTCACGGGAATAGGTACCCTTCTTGGAGTTTGGAGCAAGGTCACCTGTATTACTCAGGGGTTGTTATTCGCCTGCCTTACCAGGTTAAGGTTAAGGTGGGTTAACATTTAAGGTTAGAGTTAGTTTTAGGGCTAGGCTTAGGACACGGGAATAGGTACCTTTCCTGAGATTTGACGCGATGCCGCGAACTCGTCTTCCGTTCACTCTCTCCGCGTACTTCGGAGTCTAATTGTTTTGACCAACTTTCTCTGTACTATTAAAATGGCTGAAGTATTAAACGTCCTGCTGTCATCTTCACACGCATATCTCTGGATAAAAATATATGACAGGCCGCGGGAACGCGGTCCTGCTGGGGAAACCCAGACGCGTCCAACATTGGAGTCCTGGCAAAAGGGGCTCTACAAATGGGGCTGCGGGAAAACAGTGAAGAATGTGCGAAAGCTAGGGAGAAGCCACAGGTATTATAGATAAATATGCTACTTTGTTTCAGTGGGTGTTTAATCTTAGCGTAAGCACCGCGCAGTACAAAAATGCACCACAGGTAACCAGTAAAACCAATTCAACGAAGAACAAAAGCGATTGGCCCGTCAAGGTCGTTGAAACTGAACCGCCCAAGAATGTGGCCAATCAGACGGAAGCTGTAGGTGGGTGTCGAATGACACTAACACTAAACCTTAGACTCTGAACTCTAAGCCCGAGCCGTGACCCTAAACCCTAGCACTAATCCAAAAACCGTAACCCCTAACCTTAAATCCTAGTAGCAGGGTCCGAACCCTAACGTAACTGTGAATCATAATCGCAGCAGTCCGCGAAGCAACTCAAGTTGAAGGCATCGGTAAGTAGTGGTACGCCTGCTGAAGTCGACAATAGTGCGAACGTGATAAATGTTGACCACCTACTGAGATCAATAATAGTTCGAAAATGCTAGTTTGTTGAACAAGCAGGACAGCGTTTTCGACCCCCACCAAATATATTTTACCCATTCTAATCGAATAAACAGTGATTGTATCCAAGGCAGCAGAATCCCACATTTACCCCTACGAAATAGGGATGCTGTGGCCATAAATACCACGATTCGGGCAGGAAAAGTACTTTTCTCCCCGGCTGTTGGACCGGTTGGAAAGATCCAAGGCATTTTGCAACTGCCGGTCTCTGGAGGCCACAGGACTTGTGTGCTATAAATAATAAAAGCAGGAAATGTTTCCATTTTAATCAAACACTTGGTGGAAACTAGGCGTATACGTAACGCAGCCGGATGTGCGAGGCATTAGCTCTTTTGGAACTTCCTGCTATCCCTTCAACACCCCATCAAGTAAAGTACGGTGCTACCATGTCACTAAGTAAGCTGGTGTACAAATCCTTCCAGCATAATGTAAGCTTCAGTATGAGCACCAAGACATTCAAATACTCTTGTTATCTAACCGGATTTTTTTATTCTAAACTTTTTGGAAGTGATTGCTCCTCCCGATAAGCAGGACAGCAGAAATGCCCAAATTCAACATTTCACCCTTTCAACTATTTAACACATGTACGGCATTGGTTCTTACTTATAGCAGATTTTCAGTTACGCGTGTCTCAACTGAAACTTCACTCAACCAAAAGATTTATGGAGTTGCAGGTGAGAACCCTACAGAGTTTCCTCACTACAGAATGTTTTAATTAGCCGTCCAGTTATACCTCGAAATTCGCGGGCTCAGGGTCCTGGACCCTCACGAACATTTATGTCTACTGTCCGCCATCCTGTGTCCGTCCGCATCTTCCCTGAGACGCTGAAATCTCCTGGGAGCATCTTCTGAGACACCGAGTGCTAGGCGAATTTGAAATGCAAGGTTCGAGGGAAAAAAATACCGAATTCCTGAAGCCGCAAATTCAGAAGCGCAAACTTTCAGGGTACCACTGTACCTTATTTTTTGATGTTACATAACTTAGGTAAAGACACGTTTTCCTTTCCGATACACTCGGGCACCAGTTGAATAGAAGGGCAGTGGAAAATGAACAGCGGGAGGAGGGGTGGTTTGTCTATTCATCGCACGAAGTGGTTGAAGCAGTGCTGCGGGTCAAGTGCCGCAGGGGCCGTGTAGCGGTCAGTCAGGTTGGATGAAGTTGGCAGACTTTGTGAGGGGGGAGGGGGTGGGAGCATACGACACCAGATGCCCCTGAAATGCTGTGCTGAGTCTACTGTCTCCAGCGGGGAAAGCAGACTGAATAAAATTTGCCATGAACAATGCAGGGTATGGCCAAAGGCGTTTTGTGAGCAATTAGGTGTATTGACAACTGTGTCCCTCGATTGCCAGTATGCACTGACCCGGCAGCTCCGATCGGCTCGCCTGCAACCTACAGGCAACTCAAAAATTCTCTTTGGCCTCCACTTCATGCATACATTATGTACCAAGACATCTTTCAAAACGAATCTGGTTTTGTCAGGACCAAGTTAAGCAGGGCAGTCTTCAAGCACACTTTCTGGATAGATGTGTAGTCTTTTAAACTATATAACATTTTCTACGGGACCAGTAAACATCAAATTTGCGCGAATAAAGTAGGAGGATTCGGCCTGTCCTTATCCATAAATGAACTACTTTAGATCAGCACTATACGTAGTCGATTTACGCCACCACAATAGACATCGTAGCAGCAAGTCTGATGGGTCTCCTTGCAGGGACGTTTGAGGAAAAATTCGTCCCTGGCGATTGTAACCATTTCCGACCTGAATGGTAATTTTCCCGAGTGCATTTGAAGAAGTCTATTGGGATACAAATTTATATGCAAAGAATTCCTTGGATGACAATCTCGTGTCCTAGCATCTCCGCTGGGCGTATCCAAGGGACTGTGCTTGCTTACAAACGGATCAGACTTTATATTTGGTCTACTAGAATTAAACTGTGACCTTTTGTATGCCACCCAATCCAAGATTTCTTTAGATATATTTATGCTACCAACGCTGTCCTTGGATTTTTGAGTAGAAAATCGTCTGGAAGTGGAAGAGATCCTTCTGTTACCATTTGTAAGATAACGCAGATAATTTGGGGTGTATTGATAGTTCTTGGCGTTAGCTCCGCCATTTTGATATTCATGTAGGCAGCTACCAAGATACGATCGTCATGCCTGTCAGAGGAACTGATTTATTCTATAATTGTTCATTTATAAGAAAGTTGAAAAGGTGATGCTTCATCGACAGGTATGCCATAACCACGGAAGAAATGGTTCCAGTGTTCTGGTAACTTACAGGCTACGTCAATTTCGACTACACGAAGTTCTATGCCGAAAATGTCCACAAAACCAGAGTGTTAAATGTTACAATAAACGTTTCGAATGATCATAGGGATTTTGTTTATACACCTGCCCGGACGAAATACAGGCGATTGTGTATTTCCCTGGAGTTTTTGTCTACAGCCCACGAAAGCTCTTTCATATAAACGAATCAGAGTAGCATTCCTGGACCTACTGGCCTGTATCTGAGATATGGCTGAGTACCGACAGCAGATGAGATGAAGTGGCCATTACCGTCTGTCCCGTACTTTTTGGTACGAGTCCTAATTGAAATTCTCACTTTTCGTAAGAGTCTGCTGTATCCATTCACGCACTCTGCTTTTATTAGATTGCCTGCTTTTTCTGACACCATTAACCATAGCCCTCCTGATACAACTGACGCTAAAAAAAATAATAAGACATTGCATACATATATATAACAAGAGACCACCGCCTGCCGACAATGGCAACCCGGGGCAAGTCCAAAGGGGGAATCGTTTGAGCTTGTCGCTCAGCGCAGTGATGAGCTCATGCAACAGTCAGTAACTGGATGTCCGGGGGCTGGCAGGAAAGGAGGTTAGGCTGGTTCTGTGAGAGGTACGATGACAGGTTTGACACGTGTCTTCAAGCCGGGTCAACTGTTCGACTTTCGGGAGTTCCGGGGGTGAGGAGACCGTTGCATGGTGACGGGGAGGGTCCACTCACTGAGGCTTTTTTCTCCGCCTCAAGCCTCATTTCCTCGGCCTTCGCACGCACATCGATAACTGTTCGGCACGGCTCTGAGAAGGGGAGTCGAGTTTTTTTGGTAAAAAAATAAGAAAAGATAAGTAAGACTTGTGGAGATAGTGGTTTGAAAAAGGGCTCAAGACCACCCCTGGAAGGGACGGGAGATCCAGACAGGGGGGATACATCACTAGATATGATGGTTGCGTAAGGCGTATGGATTAAAAAATGAGCTGTTCAGGACTCATCATCCAGCAGTTATGACGTATATTAGGGGGGACTGTGAGGAAAGAAGACTAGAAGCTTAAAAAGCTTTTTTTGTATTTAGGCGTTTCCGGAGAATCGAATGTCATTACGAGCGACTATGAGCAGCTGTGAGAGGAGTAAGAACCCCGACGGAATGTACTAAAATATATGAGGGTGCATCGCTTAAACAATATCCTTCGCGAAAACTCGACGAGAGACCACATTTTATTTGTCAAATAAAATAAATGTGTAAGACAAAGTTGTACACGGGGATATCCGTTTTTATCGGTAGGTTCATCAATAAAATCATATCATGTTATTACATTATTCAATCAATTGCTCGCATTATCTTGTAGCATTGGATGACAAAGACTCTGGTTAGGAAGAGTCGAATGAATAAGTCTTCCCCACCAGTTGAGGAAATTATCCGAATCATCAGCTCAGACACCCGCCGGATTAACTTCCCTTTGGCTTGAGTGAGTTTCTGACTAACCTCCAGACGTCTGTCAAAGGGTGCAACATTCTAACTAGTCAATTCTTGTCGCGCACGAAGCCGACAACACAGCAATCACCAAATTTTCATACGAAAAATTTCGTTTACGATATTAAACGTTTCACTCATTGATTATATTACCGGGAAAGTGTGCTAGAGAGGAATTTAACCTACAGGTCACATTCCAAGGGTTATTTTCTGTCCCACAGTGTGATGCCATTTTGGGGCGAAATTTCTTATTTTATTTGCACACACCATTTTTACCAGCTAGGTTATTAATCGGGAATATTTAGCCACAGTCTTATTATCAGATGCTTCATATTTTATTTACGCGGCCTGCCATGTTTGCTAAATACAAAAGATAAAGCTCACATGAATGTTGTAAATTCAACTATAGCTCAAGCTTTGATCTGTCATGTTACTTGAATGAAATCCACAGTATCTGGAGCGTATTTTTTCGTGTGTGTACCAGCCCTTTTGATGTTAATGAATGAGTTAAGTCCCTCAAGGTTAAGTGCGTGATGTTAAGCTGTCTGCCTGGTTCGACGTCCATGTCACTGAAATTTAAATGTTTCATAATTACATGATTGTCAAATATCAATTTAATTACTTTAGATTTCACGTAAACCTCCTTCAACTCGGTGGTATTTCAGACCGGCAGCTGTAAGTGCACCGGTCGTCACGACAACTGCTCTTAAAGTCAAAACAGGCCCTACTCGCGTCCGGAATTGCGGAACCCCTGGAATAGCTGTAGCGTGAGGATTGAATCGGATGGGGCAACATGAATCGCATTTTTGCCCGGACTCCGCGCCCGTACAGATCCTTGGAGAAAAATCCCTCTCGGCTTGTCATGGGACCAATAACTTTGTTCTTCCCAACTCGTTTTACCTAAATCGCCTTTAACTTGTTCGCATGCTTTAAATACTAATAGTAGCCTTTTGTCAGTACCTTGTCAAGCATAAAAGCTTGATAGACATGGTATGGTAGTTGGTGACACCCGATTGATTACAGTATTACAATCCCACCTAAATAATCCTTCCTGATTGAAAACAAATTTCAGAATTTCGGTTGCCAGCTGTACAAATAACCGATAGGAGGATAGTAAACAAGCTGCCAGATGTCTTTCGATATTATACGGCGACGGGTATTAATCGGTCGACGACATTATCCGTCGACTGCATATAGAACTGCCTGCTGCCGCATTCCTCTGTCACCTACAGTGAGTGACCGATCTCATGAAATGTTGGCTGAAATTCTGAAATGCCTTTTCGATTAGGAAGGATTACCTAGACGCGGTTGTAATATTGTTTATCTTGCGGCATAATCCTATAGTATTTCAAACTCGGCAGGATGTTGGCTTTTGAATAGACTGCTTTCCAAGCTCCTGTAGAAAGCGTACTCGGTAAAAAATGATTACTTAAGCAGCATGCCTTTCCCGTAATGATTTTCGATGGTCAAATATTATATATATATATATATATATATATTACGTCTTCTGCATATTTTATACTCGAAGAAGGAGTATAATGAAGTTTTGAAATAGTTTTCTAATTGCCAAATAATTTGGAGTCTGATCATTTGTTGAACTAGTGCTTAGCGATTTCAGTGTACAAGGTGTGAGCGTTCCGCGTAAAGAAAATCACATATTTTTCTATGTCTTTATAAAGATATCATACAGAATCCATTAAATTTTGCAATGGATGCCGACCATGTTGTACATTTCATGAGGAGTTGTGGTAAACGGACAGGTACGATGCTATGTGAATGGATATTGCGCGGTCTTAAAAAATCGAATAATTAGAAACTATTTAAAACCTAATTATATTCCTTCTTCGAGTATAAAATAGAAAGAAGACGTAATTCTCTATCAAAGGACAAGAGAAAGCATATTTTGTTTATGGTTTCTATAACATATATTTGAATTTGCAAGGTCATTGAAAAGCAATAGGAAAGGTGCATGCCACTCAAGTAGTTATTTTTTACCGAGTGCGGTTTCTACAGGAGTTTAAAAAAAGTGTATTTTAAAGCTGACATCCTGCCGAGTCCGAAATATTATAAGATTATGCCGCAAGATACTCAGTATTACAACCACGCCTAGGTAATCCCTCCTAGTCAAAAACGCAATTTAGAATTTCAATCAACATTTCATGAGATCGGTCACTCACTGTATCTGTGCTCACACCGTCTTCCTTCTTTCGGCTTTTAATAAACGAGTATGTTGAGTTAAGTCCTACCTTCCGCACCGGTTTTTCTATAGGCTGCCTGTAGAGCAGCATGCACCCCGACAACTGTGCACCGCTAGAACTGTCAGTCTCTACAAGTAAACTGGATACCAGACCACCGATCTAGAAGCGTAGGGACGCCTTCGGAAATTCGCTACTCCCCCCCGTGCACGCATCACCCGCGCGTGCACATGTCCACGCAGGGGTCCGTTAATGGGGTGAGTGGCGCAGTTCGCATACGTCCTAGGCCACTCACCAGGCCGACGATGCCAGCGGATGCAAAGGGCGTGGCTGTAGTCGAAGCCAAACTATCTAGGGATGCCAAGCGGTGTATTATTCATGAAGAGTTAAAGGTCAAGACACGGAAATCTAGATTAGCCATTTCTGATTTATCTGCCTACGGTAACCAGCCACACCCAAAGCCCAGGCGTCAAGGGCTCAGAGTTTGATACCGGCTGAAGTTACACATGGAAACAGGCGTCCCGCCAGTTCATCGACGGTATCGCATCATACCGGTCGCTACAGAGAATTTTACACTGCACATTAGAGGAACGCTCATCGACCTGTAGTGATCGCAATATAGAATATGAGCAAATCAATTTCATCATGGAACTGCTATTAAAAACCCTAAGAAAAGTGGGCTCCTGACTGACGTCCGATCTCACATAGGAAATGCTTTAGATATGAACTTCGGTCCGCATAATTCATAACGTCTCCAAACAGAATCTGGAGATGTCTAGCTAGTGACTGGAGTGAAATCCACCAACTTTTATTTTCAGTTTTGGACAGGATTGTCTTGTAAATGAATTGACTGTTTTTTTTTCAATGAAACTGTATTATTCAGTGTGGGAAGTGGCATGAATCAGTATTCCTGCCGTAAGACTCTATGTACCCCAATTGGCCTTGGATCTAACTCCCTCCAACCGAATGGGCTCGTACCCAGGTGGCGTTAGTCAACTAAGTTATTCCAAAATTGCGTACTGACATGAGAGCAGTCCCTTTGAAGTCCTCAGGATGTCAGGAGGACCCTGCTTTTACAGAGATATACACACCAATAGACTTAATTTATGCTTTAAGTAGTAATGAAAGTAAAAGAATTTCATATGCAGTGCAGTTTCCGGCGAACCCCACACTACTAGAATTGGACACAGAGTTCAATCAAAAAGTGATTGTTTAGAGGGATCATCTTCGTGTGCAACGAACTACTTCCAATGAAAAGGAAGATAGATCTACGGCGAACACCTGCACTTTTTCAGAATTCTCTGGCATGCGATGGGCTGGTAGTCCTCTAAATCCTCACCTGCCAAATCGATTTTAGGCTTATTGCCGAAACTCAAAGGAAACAACAAATTTAGGAGTCACAAGTTCACGGTTGTACAGGACATTTTAAAATCCGAACCACATTCGAACGCTCAGACTCACAAAGCTGTGCCCCTATATGTTGGGTTAAAAACAAATTTGGACAGGGTGACTGAAGGATGTGAGCACCCAAACACGAACTATTTGACAGCTTACCCTTGGACGCTGCCTCAATACTGGCTTTGTTCGGATCATCCATTCCAAGGAGCGACGCCAATGCTCTGAAAGTCCTCGATGGAATCTGCGTTCCAAGATACCTCAGGGAGGACATCGAGTCTGCGACCTGCTCGTTCTTATCAACGTTCTCTGCGGCAACTTCTGCTATCGCCTGGTCTCTGAAATCCCGATTGAACTGCTCCCCACTGGATAACTGTCCGTTCGGAGCTGCCGGTCGAGGCAAGCCGGCCGGCATCCAGCGACTCGGATGAGCAGGGAGTGTGCGCAAGGGTCCGACTGGACGATCCACCGATACACATCGTTGCATGCGAGCATTCTCAAACTGCGAGAGGGTTAGCTCGCGACTCTGTTTGCGTTCCTGGTGTATACGTTCAAATTCATGCAACACATTAGGCACTTTGGGCATGTCCGTCATGGAAAACTTTTGAGAACTGTTGGAAGTAGTGGAGTCTCTCCGTCTAGTGGGCAAGGCAAATTCACTCTGTCGACGGGCTGTAGAGGTTACAACAAGGTATTGTCGTCAATATAGAATAGGAAAGAAGACTAGCAATCAATACTCCATAGCTAAAATTGTCCACCACACTACTGTCGTTTTATGAGCATAAATCGCTTTCTTCTCCGAACTTTACTTTTTTGACTTCTGTTAGACAGCCTATCTTGTCCGGAGTGATAAACGAGACCGAACTTCATAACGGAGTTTTTATCTGTACCACAGCGACTCGTGCAGTTTAAGAAATCAGGTTAGTACGAAGAAACAGAATGAGGGTAGAACGCTTCTGGATCATCACTTCATTCTGTTGTGATTCGCGGACGAGGGGTCGGAAAATTAGCACGCAAACTGTCTTAGTGGATCCATTCGACTTATTAAAACATCGAGGAATTTCATGCATTTTTATTCTATATCCTTCCAAGGATTTTGGAGATGTTTGAAACTTCAGGCGCAAGGAAATTTGGATGTTTCTGAAGCCAAACTGAGAAACTTTGATGCCGACGACACCAAAATTGGTAAGTCAGTGAGAGAAAACTACAGACCATGGGGATATTTCTTGGTGTCACCTAGAGTAAATACAACGATGACGTCGAGGACGCCACCCATCAAGGAATCCCGTCGATTGTATGGTGTTAGGAAGCTGCACATGGTTTTAAACTTGGAATGGGTGAGGGGTCAGCATGTTTTTAGTAGAATTACTCGCCTAGAGCGAACTCCCCACTAAGCACTAAATAACTTGGAAAACTTTTATCTAAGTTCTTAATGTGGCATGCATAAATGGCTGATACGACCCCCTAGTGGACGGATGTGGTATTACTGAAGTACTTACGTCGGCCAGTTGGTTCGACGGAACGCCGGTTATATTCATGACCAAACTCGCGAATTCTGTAGTCCAAAGGAAGAGGGCTGCAAAAGGCAAAGGAATGCATTCTGTTCAACTGAGATTCTTAAAAACTCATCAGTGATTAATAGCACAAGTCACGGTCAAGATGAGCATTCACAATTAAGTGCTGAGTTCGAAACGTGGAATTGAAACTGAAATGCCAACGTTGAGAGTACGAAGAATGCCCCCATTTAGACCTCCGTACTTCCCAGGTTGGTGCTTTTGCAGACTCAGAACGGTAGTAAATTTGCTCAGTATAAAGAACAAACGTGTTGGCGGGTTGACGTCTATGCTCCGGGTGCTGGTTCTCCAGTCTCAGTGCTATGCATTTCCAGGTGATGTACCAGACCGATGCGTAAGGTGAATATACGGAGGCAGTATAGGTAGAACCTAGGGTTTATGAACGTCCGCTATGTCATTATTCAGCAAACCGTGCCGTGCTACCCACCTGCGTCCTTCCGCGCCTCCGGTCTTCTTGACTCTGTCTTGATACCAGGTTCAGGTGGGGAGTGGAGGAGAGAGAGTGTGGTAGATGCTACGCAAGACTACTAACATTATAGACTAGTTCATGTGTAAGTCACCGTCCCTGCTCCCACCCTGTTGTGGAGTACACGCTGGACATCGTCGGTAACGACGGTCAAACTGTCGGTTACAATAACCTCACAAAAAATCAATATATAAGGCAAGTGTGGAAGAAGAGTAGGTAGTTACTTGCTGACGCCTCAGCCCAGTTCACGCTGTCTGCCCGGTTGTCGTACGTGAATGTGTGGAGTGGCAAACTGGTGGGCTGATAGCCAGGCTGTCACGGTCCCTTCTCAAACAACCTGTGACACTATCATGCATGTGAGGAGAGTATGAGTGCTTTATGGGTAGTGCCTCTCAGTCGACGACTGTTTGGTTACCTAACCTTGAAGGGTGATGGCCAAACCTAAATGCAGGGCCACGTTTCGCACTTCTACGTGAAAGATCTACAAGCGTGTGCTATGCCAGTATCAGCAAACCATGGCCATCGCAGCCTGGTATGTGCTGGCAGTTCCCTGACACCTGGTTCCCTGCCGGTAGATGCGCTTGCGCTCCCGCTGGGTATACAGGTCGTGAGGATGGTTGCCCAGTCATCCTCGTCGTCCTTCTAACCTGTTGGGATGCTATTACTAGTCAAAATCCTGGTCAAGTGTTTGTTGTGGACCAGGGGTGCGGTGGCACGTCCAGGTGCGGGTCCGACCGTACCAGTCACCTGCATCCTTTCCCATCTCCAGTCTTCTTGACTATGTCTTGACACCGGGCTCAACTGGGGAGGAGGAGAGAGTGCAGTAGATGCTTCGCAAGCCAACTCTCACTATAAACTAATTCACGCTCAAGCCACCGTGCCTGTTTCACCTTTCTGAGGAGCACACGGTAGGCATCGTCGGTTAAGATGGTCGAACTGTTATGCAGATATTTGCGCACTCAAACCGATATAAGACAGTCTTAGCTTGCTAGTCAAAATACTGTCAACGAGTGCTGAGGCTGAAAATGGGTTTAGGAAAACCCGTAGAAACAGAGCTTTGAGACGCTGTAGTTTAAGTGTAGCTGGACCCGGGGATGGGGTTGACTCGAAGCAAAATTAACGTAGAGTCAGGCCTTAAAAGGACATATTTTTGACTCACTCCTGCACATCAAGAATGAGATCCTCGTCACCAGCGGCCAAAAGTTCACAGATTTCCTCCCGTGTCAGTCCCACCACCGGCTGGCCATTCACACGTTTGATGATCTGGCCATTTTTCAGTCTTCCAAAGGCCGGACTTTCGCGCATTACCTACATTCCAAGGGGGCAAAAGGCATGCTCCACGTAGATAATTGAAATGAGCATAAAGAAGGCCAGAAACAGAAATACACAGCTACGACTTCTACTAAGATGGAAATTGTATAAGCACAGGACGTCCTTTAAATCTTCACCTTAGGCGAGAATTCTTGATTTGCCAATAAACGTTTTGAAAGACAGTCTCTAAACATTAATCCTAAGGTGAAGACAAAACTGTACACACAGGCTCCGGAACCATGTAGGATTAAGGTCAGCATTTAGTAAAATATGATGACGGATCACCGCCCTCATCCAGTAGGGACCGAATGAATTACAGTTAAGCTCATCTGCTGTTTCGTAGCTGCATGCTTTTTCTTTGGGGTTTTCTAAACTAATATAAAGCATGTAGCTAGGGAGAGAATTTTACTTTCAGCCTCCGTATCACACTTTTCCTCTAAGACCTCAAACAGTCTGCCTTGCAGTATTTAAAACATCAGTGTGCCTTTTTAATATGGAGAATTTAACGTGCCGCAACCAGTACGGAACTTCCTTATGATCCCTCGATCTCAAGTCATAAGTCTTACTGTCTGTTGGAAAACAAAGTATCTAACTCCTCTGCCTGCACATGACACGCGACGCATAGATTTTTTCCAGAGAACTCTACAAATTATCCGACGTTTAGTAATCAGCACTGGACACCCCTATTTCCCCCTAAAGGAAATCGATATTGTTTACCATAAATATTCAGATCAGAGTCATACATGCAATAAAGGACTCAAGTGGTTCATGTAGGATGTTACCTGAATAGTACCTCTACAAGTAATTCTTGAAAAATCTCTCTAAAATAAGTGTGTATTATTTTCACTCTGGATTTAATGTTTCAGTTCTAGTATAAATAAAAAAGTCGACTTGCTGTGTGGCACATACAATAGTGAGGGGAATATCATATGTATTCCAGTTCATTTTCTCCAAAATGGAAATCGGTATTCCAACGGACATAAAAAAGGACAGTCGAACATTATGAAACATTGGAGCACATTCGTTCTGCATTCGGCCTTATTAGTAGTTTAAATTACGAAATAACTACGTCGAAATGTTCACGCCCAACAATTACCAACTCGACTGTTCGTCGAGTCGGCAAAGGTAAATGTACACATGCCTCGGGAGTTTCGCTCACCAGAAAAAATACCTTTACTGTCACTGTGTTATAAAAAACACCCAGTCCAACACGCAGTTTAAACCAAACTTTATCAACGAATGTGAACACATGGGCCATGGATGGGACGTCTGTTTTCGTCAGTATTTCTCTAACAAGTGTGGTACGTTCGCCATGTCATCCGACTGAACGGCCTACCTCATAAGAAAATTTCAGCTGAGCAGGTTTTTCCTCTTGTACAAAAAAATTCGAACATTATTCCATTTGAAATAAAAGCTCGCCGAAGTTCGGTAAAGACCTTCGTGAATAGTAAGTATAAGCCCAATAGAATGTACGCATTTGAGAGCATTTGCTAAATCTCTAGTTCTCATATTCACAATAAATGGGACGGATGTCCAAAATGTCTTTTTGGTTTAATATTTCCTCATGGACTTTAACCGAACCTCTTGAAATATATTTACCTAACCTTTGGACGCCCCCGAAAGCTTTACAGGCGCAAATAAAACAAGACACTTAGCAAGCATTCGTTTGCTCAAAGCTTGTGGCTTTTTAGAAACCACTGCAATTTGTATAAAATGATGATGACCTTTCAGAAAATTAGGTTTACTTCAGTTAACGAAGGGCAGAAATACCTATACTCATAAAAGATCTAAAGCGGGCATTTGGTTCATGACTTTGTGGAAGTAACCTCAAAGTTAGCGAATCCTTTTCGTGTACGCACATTTGAAAAGAACCAATAGTCAAAAAAATCACCGGAACTCACCCTTAGAATTTCCGGTCCATCAGGTAGAACAGCAAAGCATATTCCCCAAGAATGACTCGAATCCGGTCTTTTCAATTCAACGGTTAGAATTTCCGGCATTTTATCCTCAAATTGGTTCTTGGTTTGATTACTGTATACGTCTGCAGTCTTGAAGTTAGATTGTGTAACCGTCCTTTTATTCTCTTGCGGCTGCACCCACGCAGCATCTACCACCAGCGGCTGATAGCCAATCAGAATCCCCGAGTGCTAGTCAATCTAAATAGCACCAAATGCCTTTTCTCGACGCGCATTCTAAATTGTTAATTCAAGAGTAAGGAAACTATCCGTGTCCTGGAGCGTGGATCTTCTTTTCCACAATAATCAGAGAGGGTAGAATGCACAACTCTGAGGATGGTAGGATGTCGCGGTAAGAGGGCGTCAAGTTGGAACGAGTAAATGACGTTGCGTTTCCAATTATTTTGTCAAATCCCACATAGCTTAACTAACCTACCATCTTGAAACAATTCTGACGGTCGTGGCGATCGACGTTAGAGCATGAATATCGACAATAGCGAAAACTATCCTGAAAACGGAATCAGTCTAAAAAAATAAGTGTCCCGCATAACATCTAAAAAGTTGCGCACATAGGCGACTTGATACCTAGGTTGTCATGCTAGTTCAGCTTCAAAAATTTGCCTCCGAATGTGAAAGGCTTAAAATATGCATGAAATAACTTGGTGATTACGTTGAACAGTTTGTCCAATGGCCGTAAAACGTTTTATAGAGGAAACAGAAAAGAATTTAAAAAACGAAGGTTTGAAAAGGTTTACCAGACGTTAAGGAGAACTGATGGATACAGTAGATGTGCCATCCAATGAAATGTTAACCGAAGTTCTAAAATTTGTTTCTGATTCGTAAAGATTACTAAATTAAGATTCTAATATTAATGGTCATGCAGCAGAATCCCAAGATATTTCATTCACATCAGGGTGTCTGAAAGAGCCTCGTTTAAAGGCCGGCATCTTTACGTGGCTGAAATATTTTTGGATTCTGCTGTACAACCATTAATATTATAGCCCTACTTAAGTTATCTTTTCGAATTAGCAACACATCGTAGAATTTCACTTAACACTTCATGAGACAGCTCATCCACTGTAAGTCTAAAATGCCTGAAGGGAAGGTCCTTTTCGACTTTTTCCGTCTGTTCTCGGTTCACATTGCAAGAACTTTGTTCATACTTCCAGGCCACTTTATTTATTAATTTTTACGGTCTTCGGGCTTAGGTTATGAGGACACTTTTTAGTCAACATTTAAGCCAAGCAAACATCATACGAATTCTCAGCTTTCACAGCATACAAGCGCAGTTGTATGGAAATACCTAAACATCTTCAGACAACTCTGCGGCCAGTTAAAGTATGACGCGGAAAGATGGACCCGCCAGTGCTACAGATGGCCTCGTGCTAAATCCCAGAGGGGTTCCTATCCCGGTGTCCCAAGCCTACCCCAAACACTCATACTGACCCTGATCATACTCCCAACCACAATCCTACTTCTTATCACCGCCAACCCTAACACTAACCCTAAACTTAAACCTGACCCCCTGGAATGTAGGGAAGGGCCATCTGTAATAGAAGGGAGTCCATATTCTTGTGCCAAACCCCCATTTATACGGCATGGGTAACCTAAAGGCTTAAGTATCATTCCCTCGAACCCAACTTCAGAGGACCCAATCAGAAAAGTCTTTGGAGATGTACATACTGAGTCGTATACTGGCGTGGTTTAGAAGTGACGGAAAGCATTAACGTACAATTACGTGTTGACTTTACACACTCACCTGAAGTCAACAAACGTGACTGCACCATAAACGTTAGGGACTGAATAAATTGGAATCAAATACCATAAGGGTCCTTATAATTAAACAGATCAGACAGTAAGGAGACTGAACTCACACATAAACGAAAACGACTTCGTTTTACGACAAAAGACAAGGTGTCTCAAATTACCGCTCAAAACCTGAAGAACGGCTTCGTGTTTCACTTTTAGAATCTCACGATACTTGCCAAAGCCGCCGACAAACCGCGTTGTGAGGTGTCTGGAGCTTGGGCGCCTATTGAAAACTGACTTAAAAGCATACGGAGCACCAGGCTGTGATCCGTTCTGACTTCTAACATCGTTTTCTGTTCAGCTGTAACGTCCTCTTTGCGACACTTTCTGTGTTGTTGAATAGGTCTGCCGATGAACTTTGATAAATAGAGATGAATACGCATATGCTTTTTATGCTGGACCATTTGTATTTCCATAAGTTTTGAAAGAACTAGCAAAGAACCAGGTTTCAACTTGGAATCCTTGCTAGTGGTAAGCGAGCTTATTTTGCTTGAAAATGAACAATGTTCACGCATTTTTTACTGTATGCTCTGTTTCTCGCGGAAAAGGTCCTTACTTATGAATAGTACTCTAAGAATGAGAACTCTTATGAATATGAATTTACATGTTTTAATGAGACACAGTCCGTTTACCCACAACTGTCATGGAGGGTTTACCTCCAGAAATTTAAACTTAATTTTTAAGGAATACGTCGTCATCCGGACCAAAGGTCGTCGGCCCAGATGACTAAAAAGGTGGATTCTGCATCAATAATCTAAATGCCCTAACCTGGATAAAAAGCGTAAAATTCTTTTACGTGTAAAAGACGTCTGTCTAAACGTAATCTTTGATAACTGTGAAACCGTTGTCCGTCCACTTTCGTAAAACCCCAAGATTCAATTCCTGAGCAAATATTACTTTAACAAACCGATCTGTTGAAAACAGCCTTTTAAAACGAAGATGCGAAATATGAAAGTGTTTCCTTATTCAGAATATCTTCCTGAAAGAGGTCGGGAAAATAAGAGGGGTAAAAACGTTCACCAGAGAGCCAATAGGCGCGCCTGGTCGGCAGACATAAACCGTGAGTTAAATGGTAAACACCAACTTTTTTCAATAACCGCTCCATGCACGGCCCGCCGAGCTCTTGTGCAGAGCATTTCAAATGCAAAAAACACCGCGTGTTGCCTCGTACTTCCTGTCTAAAACCATTATTGAAGAGATGGTCTCAAATTACGTGTTCTTTTATGTGCTCAGCAAAAGGAACATAGGTGGTTTTTTTCAGTCGGAGTTGGCAGTAGATAGGGCAAATCCAACCTTATTCATTCGAAAGTTGGAGGGGAGTCCCATCATTATCTTCGGCGAGAGTATGCTGTGAGATTCACAATACTTACTGTACAGTAGGCGGGCTAACTCATAAAATTTCGACCAAAATTTCGAAATGCGTTCTCGGTTCGAAAAGATTGATAAAATATGGTTGTAAAAATAATCATCGCGCAGCATAATTCTATAATGATCCAGTTATCTCAGGGAGCCAGCTTTCGAACGAACTTATTTTCGACTGTATGCTGGATCTATACTCTGCAAAAAATGACTACTTAGTCAGGATATCATTTTCTCATTGATTTTCGATGTCCTTAAATGTTCAATTATATTTCATAAACAAAATGCATAAAAATATTCATTCTTTTATTTATTCGGTAGGAAATAATGTCTCCTTTCAATTTTATACTCAAAGGAGGAGCATAATTCGGTTTCAAAAAAAGTTTCTAATTGTGAGATATTAAAATACCGTGAAATGTCCGTTCATCAATCGTCATGTCTCTACATTTACCAATGTGGCTTGCAAAGTTAACAATATGGATCAAATCCACCGCTTAATTTTATGAACCCCATATGGCCTTCTCTTGATATCATAGAGACATGTATGGTTTTCCGTACGCCGAAAATATACGGCTTGTAGTTTAGAAACCCTGAATAACAACAGGTCGGATTCAGAATTATTCGGGAATCAGAAAAGATTTTTTAAAACCGAATTATACTCTTCCTTTGAGTGTAAAATTGGAAGAAGACGTGATTTTCTACCGAATAAGTAAAAGAACGTATTTTTATGTATGTTTTCCGTGAAATATAATTGAATTTCTAAGGACATCGTAAGTCAATGGGAAAAGTGAATGCTACTTAAGTAGTCATTTGCTGCAGAGTATAGATCCAGCATACAGTCAAAATAAGTTCGTTCGAAAGCTGGCTCCCTGAGGTAACTGGATCCCTATAGAATTATGCTGCATGGTGATTAGCTTGGCAAGCCTACTTAATTAATCTTTTCGAAACGAGAACGCATTTCGAAATTTCGATTGGCATTTCATGAGTTAGCCCACCTATTGTATTTGGTCACCAGATCAAATTCCTAAGGATTTAACAAATTGTGTACTATCTATTTCTCACGTAAGAAGAATGTTACAAAAGTCACGTGCGTACAGAAGGAAATAAGAGAGCTCGAGTAAATAGCGACGTCAGCAAGCTTGCGCTGCGCAGAATGTCCTAATTGTCGTGCAGCCCTTCCTGTGCAAGCGAATTGCAAATTACCGTCACCTTGAGCGGACTAGTAGAAAACCGCAGTTTTCACTAAGAAAAAAAGTTCGTAGCAGACCGTCTCTGCATCATTAAAACAGCGTCAGATCAACCGACAAATGGGACCGCTGACGACTTTTAAGCCTGATGCTCTTAAGCGACTTCGAACAAACTGGTAAGTATGCCTACTAATTGCCTTGTTATTGTCAAAAATTGTTTACGCAAGATCATCAGCTTGATGCAATTCGACGCAAAGAAATGAAGTTTACTTAGTTAACAGCAAAAAGTGAGCAGCGCAGATGGTGATTTGCGTCATTTAAAATGTATACTGCGTCGGCTATGGAAAGTTTATTTCGAATCTTTGTATCGGACCTCGACGGCAAAAGCCAACTGCCCGAGCCGACGGCACCTAGGGTTCGAGGACTACTCGACGATCAGACGTAATTACTGGTCGCCGTTCACCACACAGCGCGTGATTACGGCACCTTTGTTCCTCGATCACTCAGGAAAATTCCATAGAATTGCGGGACTAGAAGACGCACATGTCGGATGTAGACAGGAGAGTCAAATACCATAAACTCCGGTAGAGTGCTTACGAAGGCATACTTATTTATAACGGGTTACCTAGTCTGTTATGACGCCGGGCGCAAAAAGTTGGTTTTGAACGAGTTTGGTCGGATGTCATTTAC